CACCATCTATATAGAATGATGTCCAAACAAAGTCGTCCCGGACCATCTTGATGACCGAATATGTATAGAAATAGTCTGAAAATGGGCTTGAGGGCCGGTTTCTGGACGATTCCTCTACAAATTCGGCCGCATCCAGAAAAACAAAAATACATAGTTTCTTTTTGGGTGGACAGGAGATGATAAATTTCTTTTCTCTCTCTCTCTCTCCCAATATTGGAGGAGAGAGTGGCCCAAAAAAATGGGTCTCGGAAGGAATCGAATGCATTTTGAAATGCACTCATTCCTTCCAAGACCCATTTTTTTGGTCTCCTGATTCAACTCTCCAGTCTATGGAATAGGGAAAGCGGAGAACGTTTCCCCTTCTTTAAGCGACTGGAGACCATAGCGCATCATCATCATCATCATCATCATCATCATCATCACCATCATCCTCTTTCTGATACTTTTCAACGAAGGCTTGATGTCTCTGGATGATTTTGGGGAGATGATGGATCCCGAATTGAGTGATGAAAAAGAGAGGACTCTTTTTCCTTTCTTGTTCGTCTTGCACAGTCTCTCGGAGGGTGATATACGTTTCCCCGTCCTCCTCAATTTTCGTCAGAGGTCTCATGAATATTTTACACATCCAAGGGAAGAGCGACTTGTTATGCAGGGATTTCGAAGCGACGAAGGCCGCTTCATTCGAAGTGAGGACAATCTGGTTCGGTTGACCCCATTCTTTGGAGTAGTTGTCCAAATCGCCTAGTCGAAGAAAATGGTGTCGATTAGGAAAAAAGACTTGGAGAACACTCGTCGTATGCGAGACGTTCGTAGGCAAGAGAGTCAAGATATCTTTGGCATTCCAGTACAGGAATCCTAGATCCACATACGCGTGCACGTAATAGTCATCGTTATATTCCAGTTTGAGCAGCATGGCTTTTGTATTTTTTTTTCCGTTCTCAAGGCGAAACACTCGTCTGATATGAACAAGAGCTCGCTGGCGATCCGTTTATATAGACTCCTCAGAGAGAGAGAGAGGGAGAGGGGAGGAGGAACAAGGTTGATGAATTCTAAAATAAAAAAAAATGATAAAACATGAGTGTTTGTGAAGGTCATAGAGAGATGATTATAAAGTTGTTTTATTTTTTATTTTCTCAAAAGAAAAAACCAAAAGGGTCCCATTCCATACGACATGGCCTTTGAGAAGGTGACGGGGTCATGTGTCTACAAAGTTGATAAACTTAGAATAAAAAAAAAAAAGCTTTCATCACGTAGCTCTCGAGAAGAAAATGACAGGGGTCTCTAGGAGAAGGTCATAGGTAGTATACAAAGGATGGTTGTTTTTTTTTCTTTCGTTCCTCTCAATCCCATGACCTTTGAAAAGGTGACGGGGTGTCCTTTAGGAAAAAAATAGAAGGTCATAGAGAGAGAGAGAGAGAGGTAGACAAAGTTGATTTTTTTTTCTAGAAGTCAACCGTCACGTCGCCCATCACGTGGTCTTCTCGTATATATAGAGAGGCGAGTGGAAGACAGACTCTATTTCCCAGAGAGAGAGACTGCTGTGCGTATCCATATTTCTACTCAAGATGATGATCCGCGTCTTATATAATGAGTTTGTGAGCATTCGCTGTTATGTGGATGACGGAAGATTGTTTTGGAACGCTACGGACATTTTGCCTCTGATTCATACTTCCAGTAAAAGAACCTGGGACATTCTCTCCGTGTTTTTCGACGAACACCACGTCTCTTCAGGAAAATAAAAGATCTTGAGAGTCTCGGCAGTTCTCAAGAGGGATATGTCCTCTCCAGCGAAGAAATGTTACATCTGGCCGAAAATAATCCTAAAAATAATCAGCTTCTGGCCTGGGTGTATATAGCATTTTAACTCAGCCGCTGGTTCGAGTTGTACCCAATCAACCCGTTTACCGACTGCTCTATCCGGGGAGAGAATTTCCCTTCATCACCCTCTTTAATCTGGGAGTGCGCTACATACCGCCTCATCCAGGCATGACGGATTCTTCTACTTACCCTAAACAATATGCCAGCGCTTATTGCCAGACAGACCCCCGTCAAGAAAAGGTCGTCGAGACTCAAACGGATCCTCTGGTGGTCTCTTTAAATGTCACTAAAGTCATCACCTTCTAAAAAAAAACAACCACCACCACCCAAAAAAAATTTGCTCCTCCTCCAAATTTTTTTTTATCTTCTCGAAAGAAAAAAAAAAAACTTTTCCATCTAGCCTCTTTCTTTCAATCCCTCTTAAGAGAGAGAGGGAGGAGAAAAGAAAGAGAGTTCTGAGGAGGCAAAAGAAATGGGTCTGGAAGGAAACGGGTGCATTGCGAGAAAAAGAGGGTCCTCTTTTTTTTCTCGAAATGCACTCTTTTCCTTCCAGACCCATTTTTTTTTGATCACTTCTTCAAACCAATCTTGGAAAGGGGGGGGATACAATAAATTGTGCGTAAAGTCCATTTCGATCAAGACTGGATTTTTTTTTTGAAAAGAAAACATAATGTTATATATAGATAGCTAAATCTTTATCATGATATTCTTTAAGAATTTCTTAGCCATTTGTCAAAGAAGGGGACTATAATTGAAGAATTTATGAATTTGGGAACATGTCACCCATGGCAAATCTAAAATCTTGGAAGTGGATACTGGAAAGCCCCGCTCTGATTATAATTCTGAGTTCTAGCATGGGACATTTTTTAGATCAATAAGCTAAACTATTTTTCTAGTCTCATATTCTCTCGTGACTAGGGTTTCAGATTTGGGTAGAGAGAGACACTGTTCTGAACAGAAACGTGGAATGCTTTTATAGAAAAGTGAAGAGTTGAAAGTGAAAGTCGAAAAACGAAATGGGATCGGCTAGGAAAAATTTCTCAGAGCTCAGAAAAAAATTCTGAGATGTAAAAAAAAAAAAAAAAAAAAAAACTTTTTGTTAATTTTTATCATGTCTTCTAGACATGATAAAAATTAACTCACCCCCCTTTTGTCTGGGAATGTTGTCTCCCACTTTCTAAAAATAGACCATGACTCATCCTTTTAAAGAATAGAATTCCAAGAAAAGACTGGGTTCTGGTCTATTTTTAGAAACGGTGAGACAACATACCCAGACAAAAGGGGGGGTGAGTTAATTTTTATCATGTCTAGAAGACATGATAAAAATTAACAAAAAGTTTTTTTTTTTTTTTTTTTTTTACATCTCAGAATTTTTTTTTCTGAGCTCTGAAAATATTTTGCCAGCCGATCTCATTTCGTTTTTCGACTTTCACTTTCAACTCTTCTCTTTTCTATAAAAGCATTCCACGTTTCTGTTCAGAACACTGTGGGCTGTTGAAAAGGCAACACGCCTCCCTCTCTACCCTAATCGGGAATCCTGATCCAGGTGTCCCCCGCTTCACGCTACCCATCTTCACCCATTTCTCACCTTCTCAAAGGTTATGTCGTATGGAATGGGACCCTTTTGGTTTTTTCTTTTGAGAAAATAAAAAATAAAACAACTTTATAATCATCTCTCTATGACCTTCACAAAACACTCATGTTTTATCATTTTTTTTATTTTAGAATTCATCAACCTTGTTCCTCCTCCCCCCTCTCCTCTCTCTCTCTGAGGAGTCTATATAAAACGGATCGCCAGCGAGCTCTTGTTCATATCAGACGAGTGTTTCGCCTTGAGAACGGAAAAAAAAATACAAAAGCCATGCTGCTCAAACTGGAATATAACGATGACTATTACGTGCACGCGTATGTGGATCTAGGATTCCTGTACTGGAATGCCAAAGATATCTTGACTCTCTTGCCTACGAACGTCTCGCATACGACGAGTGTTCTCCAAGTCTTTTTTCCTAATCGACACCATTTTCTTCGACTAGGCGATTTGGACAACTACTCCAAAGAATGGGGTCAACCGAACCAGATTGTCCTCACTTCGAATGAAGCGGCCTTCGTCGCTTCGAAATCCCTGCATAACAAGTCGCTCTTCCCTTGGATGTGTAAAATATTCATGAGACCTCTGACGAAAATTGAGGAGGACGGGGAAACGTATATCACCCTCCGAGAGACTGTGCAAGACGAACAAGAAAGGAAAAAGAGTCCTCTCTTTTTCATCACTCAATTCGGGATCCATCATCTCCCCAAAATCATCCAGAGACATCAAGCCTTCGTTGAAAAGTATCAGAAAGAGGATGATGGTGATGATGATGATGATGATGATGCGATATGGTCTCCAGTCGCTTAAAGAAGGGGAAACGTTCTCCGCTTTCCCTATTCCATAGACTGGAGAGTTGAATCAGGAGACCAAAAAAATGGGTCTTGGAAGGAATGAGTGCATTTCAAAATGCATTCGATTCCTTCCGAGACCCATTTTTTTGGGCCACTCTCTCCTCCAATATTGGGAGAGAGAGAGAAAAGAAATTTATCATCTCCTGTCCACCCAAAAAGAAATTATGTATTTTTGTTTTTCTGGATGCGGCCGAATTTGTAGAGGAATCGTCCAGAAACCGGCCCTCAAGCCCATTTTCAGACTATTTCTATACATATTCGGTCATCAAGATGGTCCGGGGACGACTTTGTTTGGACATCATTTCTATATAGATGGTGGAATTTGTATAGGAAAAGTCTAGAAACCGACTCGAACGCCTGTTTTCAGTATATTGCAATACAAATAGGGCTGTCCACACAATAAAAAAGAAATAATTTTTTTCGTAAATAGAGCTCCATTTGTATAGAAATAGTCTAGAAATTGACTCGAAAGCCCGTTTTCAGTATATTACAATACAAATAGGAGGCACCTCTTCATCCAATCTTGGGAGAGAGAGAGAGAGAGAGATCCGGTTTCCATAGTCATCCTGTCCATTCAAAAAGACATTCTTTTTGTTTCTGAATGCAACCGAATGTATATAGGAATATACTAGAAAGCGCCCCCCTCCAAGCCCATTTTAAGTATATTCTATACAAATTCGGTATAAAATTGTCCGGGGACGACTTTGTCCGGAGACGACTCTGTCCGGGGACGACTCTGTTTGGACTCAACCATGACGTCATTTTAATATAGTGGAATGTGTATAGAAATAGTCGGAAAAAGGACTCGAACGCCCGTTTTCAGTATATTCCAATACAAAATTGATTGTCCACAACATAAAAAAAGACATCATTTTTTTCTTGGATAGAGCTCCATTTGTATTGAATATACTGAAAACCGACTCGAACGCCCGTTTTCAGTATATTCCAATACAAAATTGGCTGTCCACAACATAAAAAAAAGACATCATTTTTTTCTTGGATGGAGCTCCATTTGTATTGGAATATACTGAAAACCGACGTGAACGCCCGTTTTCAGTATATTCCAATACAAAATTGGCTGTCCACAAATAAAAAAAAAAGACATCATTTTTTTTCTTGGATGGAGCTCCATTTGTATTGGAATATACTGAAAACCAACGTGAACGCCCGTTTTCAGTATATTCCAATACAAAATTGGCTGTCCACAAAATAAAAAAAAGACATCATTTTTTTCTTGGATCGAGCTCCACTTGTATTGGAATATACTGAAAACCGACGTGAACGCCCGTTTTCAGTATATTCCAATACAAAATTGGCTGTCCACAAAATAAAAAAAAAAGACATCATTTTTTTCTTGGATCGAGCTCCATTTGTATTGGAATATACTGAAAACCGACGTGAACGCCCGTTTTCAGTATATTCCAATACAAAATTGGCTGTCCACAAAATAAAAAAAAGACATCATTTTTTTCTTGGATCGAGCTCCACTTGTATTGGAATATACTGAAAACCGACGTGAACGCCCGTTTTCAGTATATTCCAATACAAAATTGGCAGTCCACAAAATAAAAAAAGACATCATTTTTTCTTGGATCGAGCTCCATTGTATTGAAATATACTGAAAACCGACGTGAACGCCCGTTTTCAGTATATTCCAATACAAATTGGCAGTCCACAAAATAAAAAAAAAGACATCATTTCTTTCTTGGATCGAGCTCCATTTGTATTGAAATATACTGAAAACCGACTCAAACACCCGTTTTCAGTATATTCCAATACAAATTGGCAGTCCACAAAATAAAAAAAAGACATCATTTTTTCTTGGATCGAGCTCTATTTGTATTGAAATATACTGAAAACCGACTCAAACACCCGTTTTCAGTATATTCCAATACAAATTGGCAGTCCACAAAATAAAAAAAAGACATCATTTCTTTCTTGGATCGAGCTCTATTTGTATTGAAATATACTGAAAACCGACTCAAACACCCGTTTTCAGTATATTCCAATACAAATTGGCAGTCCACAAAATAAAAAAAAAGACATCATTTCTTTCTTGGATCGAGCTCCATTTGTATAGAAATAGCCTAGAAATCAGTTCGAACGCCCGTTTTCAGTATATTGTAATACAAATGAAATGACATGAAAAATGCAAAAAGAGGAAAAAGTAGCCTACCTTGACGGAAATTCTATTCCAAAAGGGGAAAAACTTGTATCCAGGTGGGCCCACAGCACGGCCGGAACTCAAGCGAAACTCGATAGGTTGAAATCGATCCATTAAATAACATTCTTAAAAAAACAGTAAAGTTTTATTCACATCTAAAACTCAAGCGAAACTCGATAGGTTGAAATCGATCCATTAAATAACATTCTTAAAAAACAGTAAAGTTTTATTCTATTCCAAAAGGGGAAAACTTGTATCCAGGTGGGCCCACAGCACGGCCGGAACTCAAGCGAAACTCGATAGGTTGAAATCGATCCATTAAATAACATTCTTAACAAACAGTAAAGTTTTATTCACATCGAGTCGGCTGGGAAAAGTTTCTGAAAAATAAATTTACCCCCCTTTTTAGTCTGAAAATTTGAAAATTGATGTCTTCAATTTTTGAAAAATTGAAGACATCAATTTTCAGACTAAAAGGGGGGTTTTTTTTTTTTTTTTTTTTTTTTTTTTTTTTTTTTTTTTTTTTTTTTTTTTTTTTTTTTTTTTTTTCAGCCAGAGAAATTTTTCTCCGGCTCTCAGAAATTTTTCCGCACTCGACTGGATGAATAAAACATCCCCGTTTCTTTAAGAATGGGCTCACTGTTAACTATTTCAGCATTCGACGTTTCGCGTCCAATAATAACTGCCGGGTGTTCAAGAATGCAGATGCACCTACTAGATTTTCTACAGAGAAGCTTGACTGGATGGAGAGTGGATGACTTTTTCCAAGATTCTCGACTTTGGACCGTCAAGAGGTAATGGATCTTTTTTTTTTTTTTTTCTTTTAAGAAAATTTATGGATAGATTCATTTCTTTTTGAATGGACCTAGAAAAATAGGACAAAGTTCTTTTCCAAGATTGGATGAGAGAGGGACCCAAAAAAAATGGGTCTCGGAAGGAATCGAATGCATTTGCACTCATTCCTTCCAAGACCCATTTTTTTTGGTCTCCTGATTCGTCTCTCTCTCTCTTCTCAGTCCATTTCCATAAATATAGGGAAAGCGGAGAACCTTTCCCTACTTATTTCTAAAAATCTTTTCTTTATTTTTTTTCTCCTGAGTTTATGTATATATCAATTCAAATACTTTTGAGAACGGTCATCCCAATTCTCTGTCGTCTTTTCGGTTTCATCGTCCCAACACTCAGTGGACATAGTCTCAGTAGATTTTGGAGCATGGGTCGTCAGTTCATTGTCCCAACACTCAGTGGACATAGTCTCAGTAGATTTTGGAGCATGGGTCGTCCGTTCATTGTCCCAACATTCAGTGGACATAGTCTCAGTAGATTTTGGAGCATGAGTCGTCTGTTCATTGTCCCAACACTCAGTGGACATAGTCTTAGTGGATTTTGGAGCATGAGTCGTCCGTTCATTGTCCCAACACTCAGTGGATTTTGTCTTTGGATCCTCTGAAGATATTTTGGGGGTCTCATGAGATTCTTTGGAAGGTTCGTCCCAACAGGCTGCTGGATCGTAATGGGGAATATTTTCAGGTATGTCTCCCCAACCCTCCGTCTTCCTCGAGTTATTGGAGGAAGTTGACGACAAAGAAGAAGTAGAAGAGCCCATCAAGTTTAAAGGCGTATGCTCATCCGGATGTTCCATCACTTGGAAACAGGACAGATTATCCCATTTCTGGATGAGGTTATCGTACGCTTTTGGGGACGGATCCTTCTCTAACTGATCGTAGGCCTTATCAAAAGCTTGCAGAGGATTGTCTGCTTCCTCCTGAATCCTCTCCTCTTTCTCCGTTCCGTCTGGATAGACGTGATTGATATGAAAATCTCCTTCCGTAATATGCCATCGATAGTTGCGCACTTTGTTTTCGGCACAATGGAAATATTTCCTCCTTTGATGATGTGTCGGGCACATTTTTCCCGATACTTCCAAATGATTCCATCTGGCACATAAATTTCCGTCACGGGTTTTTGATAATCCAAGGCTTTAGCAAAGAATTTAGCTTTCTGGCATCCCACCACATAAATCGTGGAGAAGCTGTGAGTGAGCGATTGGAGAATGCGTCCTAAATGGTTGTAGGGAATATGACCCTCGTTCCAACGAAGTCCGTGCCGGTTTCTCGTCAGCCAGGCATTCGTCTTTTGGTTTTTTTTCACTCAGTTGGTGGAAGGGGTGAGGAGGAGCAAACGTCAACGATCCCACGGTCAAAAAATCTTTTGTCGCATAGCCCAATTCTTTTAAAACGTAGGTAAATTCACCCTTCTTGTGGTTGTAGGACTGGAAACCCTCTAGATCGAGCACGATAAAGTTTTCTGAACACGCCATGGCGATGAATACGGTGATGTCTTCCACAAACAGGAGCAAAAAAGAATCGAAAAGGTATATATGTATAACAGGGAAGATCTAGAAAGGGGGAAAAAAAAACAACAATAAAACGTTTTAGAGTCGTCGTCTTGAAAGAGACATTTTTCTTTTCAAAGGGTTAAGAAGTTTCAAAGTTCTTTTTAAATGAAGTTATGATTATTATGATTATTAAAAAAAACTAAGAATCAAATCGATTTATAGATAACCATATTCATAGGACCAAAGGGACTTACCAGCTCAGTTCACGTCTTCTTCTGTTCTCTGAAGAAATCTCGCGGAGGACACACACTTTTATACTCGCGCGACATCTGTCGGGATCGCGACCCCATCTAAATGTCAGGGTCATTCCAACCTCTTAAAAGGATCGGAATGAAAGAAACACTTTGATAAAAAATATATTTATGAAAAGATATCTGAGGGTCGTGAGAACATTTTCTCTCCCCACCCCCCGCCTATTTCAAAAAAAAAATAAAAAAATTCTTTCTTGGATCGCGTCAAGATTACAAAACAACTCACAGGACTTGTTTATCTCGATCTCGTCAGGGTCACCGTTTCACATAAGAAGATGGATGGACCCTGAACTTTAGACATGATAAAAATTAACTCTACCCGCCTTTTGTCTGGGAATAGGGTCTCACCGTTTCTAAAAATAGACCAGATCCCATTCTTGGAATTCTATTCTTTAGGAAAGGAGGAGTGATGGTCTATTTTTAGAAAGTGTGAGACAACATTCCCAGACAAAAGGGGGGTAGAGTTAATTTTTATCATCTAAGACATGATAAAAATTTTTTTTTTTTTTTTTTTTTTTTTTTTTTTTTTTTTTTTTAAGGCTGAAAAATTTTTCTGAGAGAGCTGAGAAAGATTTTTCCTCCCAATCTTTTTCGACGATGAAAAGGGAAAAACTACTGATCCGATCTCCAAAAAAAAAATACTTATGAAATATTCATGTGTTGAAATTGGCTATTCAAATAAGTGACATTTTGTTTCTCATTGGAACTGTTCAACGGCGAGTCCACTCGTCTCATTCTTTGGGGTAGGGGATGAAAGTACAGCGGTTTGTTGAAATCGATGATAGTTTCCTCTTTAGTCGGCGGAACTGTAAATCTATCCCGTCTTAACTCTTCTAATCTCTTTGAAAGTCTTTCCACTTGCTCTGCTAAGGTTTCCTCGGTACTCATGATCTCTCTTAGTTTAGGGAAGTCTTGACGTATTGGCTAGAGAACAGAGGGTCTTTTTCTCTCTATACATATATCATGTGGGAGCGTGTGATTTATAAATCCTTGTGAAATCTTTCTACGTCTTGTGTAACTTGGAAGATTCGTCTTGTGTAACTTGGAAAATTCTTCTTCTTCTCGTCGATTGGGGTGGAGTTATGGAAAAGAAATGGGATTGGAAAGAAATCAAAATATATTAAAAAAAAGGAACTTTTTTTTTATTTTTTTTCTCTAGGGATTTACATACCATTTCATTCATGAACATTCAAGGGTTCTCTCCAAGACCAAATTTTAGAAGAGGACCACAAAGAGTACACTTGAGGATCCTCTTTCAGGTCTAGGTGAGATAAGGGTTGAGACCAATATTCTTGGGTCTCTAAAGCATCCCAACTTAGACATTTATTATTATTATTATTATTATTAGTTAATTTTCTCCTCCTCCTCCTCCTCATCGTCGCACGAGTTCTCCTGGGGAGATTCTTCCGCCTCCTCTTCGTCTTCGACAGCTTTGCTCTCGGAGGGGTAACAATGTAATTTCCGGAAAACGTAACTACCCTCCATCAAATGGTATCGAAAATTTCTCACCTTGTTCTCGGCACAATGAATCATCTTTTGGAAATATTGGTGTCGCGTGCATTTCGACTTGTTCCGCCACTCGGTTTTCCCTGGGATGTAAAACTCGTAAACGGATCGCTGGCAGAGCTTGCTGAAAAATTCGGCTTTATCGTATCCATTGACGTAGATCACCTCCACATTTTCGGTCAGTATTTTCAGGATCGTAGGAAGATGCTCGTAGGAAAGACGACCCTCGGTCCATTGCAGGCCGTGTCGGTTATTTGTAGTCTGGTTGACCACAGCTTGATTGCGGGACGATAAGTCATCGTAATGGACAGGAGGGAGAAAAATCATGGATCCGCATAAGGTTAAATCGCAAGTGATGTAGCCCAGTTCTTTCAAGATGAAACATATATCTCCCGTCTTTGGATCATAACAGTGAAAGTATTCCATGTCCAGAACAATGTAGGAATCTTTGAGAGGTTTGGCACTCAAAATGTCCATCTTCTTCAATTGAGGAAAAAAGAAAACAAAATTCTCTCTCTCTCTCTCTCGCTGTGTGTCCTGAAGGAAAAAATGGATAGCGTTCTCTCGCCGTCTCCTCTTTTATAGAGAGAGAGAGAGAAGGTTGCACGTGACAGGTCGTATGAATTCTGGGAAAGGTCACATTCGTATATATATTTGTTTTTTGAATAATATCGTGCGTATCTCAATACACATCCATCATAATAATAATAAAGGTCACCTTGGAAAGAAAAAGAAATAAAAAAACATGGAACTCGTGCTCGACTTTGAAGGTTTCTACGATTCTCAAGGAGCCTTTATTGTGAAAGAATTGGCTTACGTCACATTGGACGGTACTTCTCGAGGGGTATTTGTTTTTAAACCCCCGTTTCCATGGCAAAATGCTCACCGAGAAAGAAAAACGAACCGCTGTGTGGGCGAGTGATTATTATCACGGCTTGTCGTGGTACGAAGGAGAAATTCCGTACAGTTATTTTCCATGGGTGTTAACGATGTTGACGGAACCCTTTTCCATGATTTGGGTGCGAGGAGAAATGAAACGGCGGTTTTTAGAGAAATGGTTGCAAAGATCCATTTATTGCATTTCGGGATCGACGCAAGAGATTCTCAAATACAATGGGATCGAACACATGAATTGTCCTAACCATACAAAAGGTTTTTTTCCATTGCGCTCTACAAAAAGCGGTTCGGTATCATTATTATTTAAAGACACAGAGAAGAAATTCGCAAGGTCGATCCTGCACAATTCAATCTTGACAGAACTCATTAAAAAAAATACATATATCATGTTACTTCTTCAACAGCACAGATGGTTCTGAAGCGAAACT